GTGTGCTTGTGTGCGTGCGGTGTTTGTGGAACTAGTTTGTACTGCCTGTGAATGCACGTTGCACTTCGACGTGATAACCCTTGCTCATCCACACACCTTACCTCCCCTCCTTCTCCCCTCCTTCTCCCCTGTGCACTCCCCGACACCATAATTTCCACCAACTGCTGCACCGCGTCAAGATTCCGCGACGACGCTGACCCATGTGATTCCCTCACGCGCGGACCGCACGGCGGGCCAGCAGGCCGGATACCAGCTCCTCGGCCTCGCCGTCTCCATCGGTCAGACGATGATGATGATGATGAAGATGACGACGATGATGATGATGATGATGGTGGTGGTGGTGGTGGTGGTGGTGGTGGTGGTGGTGGTGGTGGTGGTGGTGGTGGTGGCGGCGGGTTGCTGTCGCTACATGCTGCTGTACGTGTGTCTACCTGTGTTCCTCTGCATGCTCACAACTAACACCCATGCCCACAACTAACACACACACACACACACACACAAACACACAAACACACACAAACGCAAACACAAACACACACACGCACGTGTTGCAGGCATGTCGCTTGTGTCTGGAGCGCTGACCGGGGTTGTGTTGCGCATGCCTGGCCTGCAGCAGCCATCCTCCCTCTACGACGACGAAGAGGACTGGGCAAAGGAAGAGGAGTAAATCACGCCCCGCACGTGCTCGCACACGCATACGCACACGCACACGCACGCGCGACAACCAAGCTTCTTCATTGCTGATGACCTTGGAGCTCACGCACAAATACACACACCCCCCTGTCTCTCCACGCGTGTTTTTGCGTTGTTTGCACTGTTTGTCCTGCGTTTCCTGTATGCCTGGGTGTTGTTGTTTTGCTATTCCCTCGATGCTCTCTCTTTGCAGTGCTGCTGGTTTGTTGCGTTTGTGGAAGACGAAAGTACAGAGTGATACGCTGGCAAGTTATCAGACGGTAAGATCAAGGAGGTGGGTGCAACAGACACACGTTGTTTGGGTAATGAGTATGACTTGGAAAGAGGTGGCAGAGTAGAGTGAAGTCAAACGACACAACTTGGACGAAAGCAATCAACAACTTTGAAAATGCCACCGCACTTATGGCGTGTGAGCAAACAGAGAGACGAGACTTTTGAAAAATGTTGCAGCGCAAATAGGTGTCGTTAGGGAAGACTCGCAAACAGTTGCGAGGAAGCGTGTTAAGAAAGGATGCATGTTGCTCATGCTCAAGGACAGTTGCCCTCAATGAGCTTGGCGAGGTCACCTTCGCGAAAGTGACCATTCTTGGATTTGTTGCGGATGTAGTTGATCTCTGAGAGGACTTGCGTCTCATAGGCTTCGAGTTGGCGAAGAAGCTCAGTGTCAACAGCAGGAGCTGCCACGTCTTCGAGCAGAGCGAAGCGGCAGAGGATACCACAACCCTTGTTCGTCAGATGGTGAATCACTTCTTTCAGGTGGGACCCATTGCCTGCATATTCGCCTACGAATGAAAGGAACAATTTCAGGGGAAGAAGTACCAACATGAGGGAGGGGGGAGGTCAGTGTCAGGTTCTGTTGCTAGCTTCGTCAGCATGCCAACAACATCGCGGCTTACATGTACAGGGTGCAGCGAAATTGTTCAACATACCTTGGAGCCGAGTGCGAATGTGCTTGGTGCACCCAAAGTAAAAACCCTTGATGACGCCGTTTGGGAACAGCACTAACAGCTCGTAGAAGCCGGGTGCGTCGGGCAAGTCAGCCCGGCAGAACTGGTGGGAGGTCCGCAGTCCTTTTGCAGGCAACAGAAGTGACATGGCAGAGAAGCGGAGCTCTTTACCATCCATCTTCAGGGCTGCGTCATGCTCCAAGTCCTCACGATACAATGAGGGCCCCTCTGTCGTGATCGTGGAGGGTGGTGTGAGTTGCTGGAAGAGACGCACCAGCAGGGGGTAGACGACGAAAATGCAGCACAATCGCGTGGGTACATCTCATCCACACACGCACACACGCACACACACGCACACATACACACGCACACACACAGACACATACACACAGACACACACACACAGACACACACACACAGACACACACACACAGACACACACACACACACACACAGCGGGTGTTGGGTCCTCACGTCGGTGGGTGTTGTTCTTGCGAGGGACCGCATTGGTGATCGCACGCACAGCAAGCGTGGTACCGTCCGGAAGCCGAACATCACGGGGATTGCTACCATTGCCCGCGTATGAGCAAGTGGAGTGGAGGAGATTAGCCCACCGCCTCACGTCCTTGTTCGTACCCATCGTCGTGGCGCGGAACACGAGCTCATACCCGTGCTCTTTCCATCCTTGCTGAGCGAACTTTTTCAGCAACCGTGACGGCACTAGTTCGTGTGTTGGTGTCAGGAATAACGAGAACAGGCAAGTGCAAGGCATGAGTTACGGATGAGACACCGGCTGAAACATGACATGACAACTACTGCTATCAAGTTCATCAGCAGGCTGTCTGTTACCTGCGTAGACAGCAAACGAGCAAGAAAAGCCAGCGTAGACGGCAATCACTTGCGACCCTTTCTTGTATCCAATCTCAAAGCAGCAACAGGGGTGGCACTTGCGATAACGCTTGGTGGGAGGCTTCCATGATGAGAAAATCGGGAAGGACGTGTCCTTGAGGAGTCGCCGAAGTTCCTCGTCGTCGAGGTCCTCGCGACGCGGCTTCTGGGTTGTCTTGGATCTTGCTGGTTGCTGCTGTTGTTATTGGCGTGGTGCTGCACCTGCCGCGCTCGCCCCGCTGTCGTCATCCAGGGCCGCAGCAAGACGCTTCCCCTTGTGGTCAGGGGCGAAAGCTTTGGGCCTCACCTTAACCTTGACCTTGGATCTTGCTGGTTGCTGTTGCTGTTGGCGTGGTTCAGCGTCAGCCGCGCTGGCTGAGCTCGTGGTCATCTTCGAGGAATCGTAACTGGCATCTGCAATGCACACAATCTGTTCGACTGAATTCAGTCACACCCATTATCACACGAGACCACCAACCTAACTCGCAACACGACCACACAACACAACCATGCGGCGTGCGCTCACGTTGATGAAGAAGGCGGCGGAGAATGAGGGAGGCGTGTTGGACATGCTGAAGATCATTGCACGCCCGCCCGTCGCCAGAAAACGCCCAGAGCTCACACGAGAGGTGCGTGGTGTTTCTGTGTTTCTGTGTGTCTGTGTGTGTGTGTGTGTGTGTGTGTGTGAAAGTGTGACTGTGTGAAAGTGCAAAAGTGTGTGTGTGTGTGTGTGTGTCTGTGTGTGTCTGTGTGTGTCTGTGTGTGTGAAAGCGTGAAAGTGTGAAAGTGCGAAAGTGTGTATGTCTACACTGTGGCGTGTATTGTTTGTACGTGTATCAATTGCATGTTCTTTGGGTTTGCGTGTGGTTTTGCACGCACTGTGTACCGTTCTTCTTGTTCCACCCGTCTCCCTTCTTCCTCCTTCTTCCTCCCTCTCCCTCCTCTGCCCTCTCAACAACTCGTTGGTTGCGACTCCGCCATATCGCGGACTCTCAATCAACCTTCTTACCCCGCTCCCCCGTCCCCGCTTCTCCATGCCCACCACATCCACTACACATCCAACAACCCTCCACCCCTTTCCCCCCCCCCCACACACACACACACACACACTTGCGCGTTGCAGGAGCTGGACAGGAGGGCAAAGCTGGTGAAGGAGTGGTCGAAGCACTGCCAGCGGCATGAGAACCGGGTGATGAAGCGGATGTCACAAGCTGTGAAGGCGAGAGATAGGGCGCTGTTTGCGCTTGCTGATATTGATGAGGAGCTGCTGTACAAGGCGTGCATGCCGGATTCCTCCCGCTGGCCGCTGAAGGCCTCCAAGCCCCTCGCAACCCCTCCCATCCCAGGCTACAACCCCCAGGCATCGGCCAAGCAAGAATGATGCGTGTTTGATGTAGCTTGTGTGTGCGTGTAACTTGTGTGTTTGTCTGTGATGTAGTGTATGCGTGTAGCTTGTGTGTTTATCTGTGACGTCGTGTGTGTCTGTGTGTCTGTGACGTAGCTTGTGTGTGTGTGTGTGTGTGTGTGTGTGTGTGTGTGTGTGTGTCTTTGAGGTAGCTTGTTTGTGGTAACACTGCAACGTTTGTTGCACATGCTGCTAATGTTCTCCTTCGCAATGCCCACATCCACCTCCATCACACACCACCTCTCCCATCTCTCCGTGGTTTCCTTGCTGTGCCTCGTCCCGAATGTCAATACAACCAATCCAACATGAATACTGCCTTCGTTTATCGTTCATCTACTACACCCAAACAAAAAGAAGATGGCCCGCACCGCATGGAAGCCGTCACATTCACACACACATACACACACACACACGTTTCTCACTCACACACACACACACACATACACAACACAACGCACTCTGTCGCGAACACCTCCACTCCTCTCCACTCTTCCATCCCTTTGCACAACAGAGCATATGTACAATGGTTGTCACAGCATCCAGGAAAAAAAAAAGCCAGCAACGCCTCTCATCTCCGGTTTTCCGCCTCTGCCCTCGCAAGTGTCAGCTGCAAGCGCGCATGTGAATGCGTACATGTGTGCGCATGTGTGTGGTGCCGTGCGGTGCAATGTTATGTTGTGTGAGAAGCGTGAAGATATGTGAAGAGAGGAGGAAACGCTTGGGTTCAGGCAACACAGCGACGACGCTTGCGTTCTCACGAGTAATCAGAGCAGAAACGGACACACACACGCACGCACGCACGCACACGCACACACACGCACGCACGCGCGCACAACGTACCATGTCAACGAGGACCTCGACCTTGAACTTGAGTAACCTGTTCTCCTCCTCGAGCTTACGGATGTGTTCCTTTGTGGCGGGATCGGACGCGTCATGTGCATCCTTGTCTTCTTTGTCCCGTGTTTTTCCTTCTTTCAGCTCCCCTGTCCAACAAAGCAGAGCAGGGCGGTGTAAGGTGGGGCGGTGCCATCGTGCAAACATCACTTAATCACCAACATCAACACGGGCACAGCAGCTGCCGCGACCGCGCATAGTACACACGCACACACACACATACACACACATTCACACACACAAACACATACACAAACACACACACAAACACACACACACAAACACATCCACAGTACACACACAAACACATACACAAACACACACACACAAACACATACACAGTACACACACAAACATACACAGTACGCACACACAAACACATCCACAGTACGCACACACAAACACAAACACAAACACACAAACACATCCACAAACACACACAAACGTGTCCACACAGAGATCACACACACACACCCTGCACACAAACGCCGCACCTTGCCATTTGCCGTTGTCGTAGGTGAGGGAGCAGTTGCCAAGGTTGAGTGTGATGGGCGCAGACGCCCAGTCGCTGTCCTCATCGTCGCTGACACGACCTCCTTTCCCCGACTTGGACGGCTTCCGCCCTTTGCTTGTGCCCCGCCGCTTTGTCGTCGGTGTGCCCTTGTTCGATGAGGACCGGAAGCTGCCCACACGCCGCCACATGCTTCGCTTGTCGTCTCAAATGGAGGTGTTCGCTGCACTCGCTGCAGTTGGTGTTGATGTGGGGTTGGTGCACGTTGGTGTTGTTTGTGTGGTGTTTGTGTGTGTTGTCGTTGTCGTTTTGGCTTTTGGATGATGGATGAAATTTTGCCAATTGTGCGGCTCGATTGCGCTTTGCAAATTGCACAGACTGTGGTGGATAGCGACCTTCAAGGTTTCTGCTGCTACAAAATTGTGTGCGCATCATAGACTAAGTGCGCACCGGCTGGTGCGCTTGTGCCTTTTTCTTTCGTCTCTCGCGTGCCAAGACGACAACACCGCCAAGATGGTGCGTCTTGTGTGTGTGTGTGTGTGTGTGTGTGTGTGTGTGTGTGTGTGTGTGTGTGTGTGTGTGTGTGTGTGTGTGTGTGTGTGTGTGTGTATGTGTGTGTGTGTATGTGTGTGTGTGTATGTGTGTGTGTGGTGCCGCGTATGGGTTGTCGTGTGCGCGCAAGCACCGTTCCTTATCGTATGCCTTCGTATGTGTACACAAGTTTGTGTATGTTCATCTCAGTGCGCACATTCATAGCGGTGGCACCATCCTTAATGTCGTGTGCACGCAACTCTTCTCCTCAACTGCCACCCAACTGCTCTCACTCAATCCCTCAACACAACACACATACACACACTAACCCACACCCTCACACACACACACACCAACCCACTCACACTCACACTCACACTCACACACTCACACTCATTCCCTCCCTCGATTTCACCATTCCACCAACAACAGACCAAGGGTACAACCAGCTTCGGACCCCGCAAGAACAAGTCGCACACCCTGTGCATCCGGTGCGGCCGCCGTTCTTACCACATCCAGAAGAAGAAGTGCGCCGCATGCGCCTTCCCCATGAAGCGCAAGCGCAGCCGTAAGTTTCCCCCCTCCCTTTGAGCAGAGCAGTTTCCCTGATTACTACACCTCGAGCTAATGCTGGGTGGCTCGTTCCAGTTTGGGGGTTGATCTCCATTGTCGTCTGTGCTCCCCGTCCTCGTTCGTGTCGAAACGTTGCTGTGATCGAGTGTGGGTGCGTGTGTGCTTTCCCGTCGCGTTGTTGACGGTGGTCGTGCGCCCGCACCTTGACCGCACTGTGGTTCATTTGGACACCAACCCACCAACCCAATCACCCTTCTTCAACATCACCAATATCAACTTTCGTGTTTCCCCCCCCCTTATGACCTTTCTCACGATCCACGGCTCCCCTCCCCCCAACTGTCGTGCGTGCATTCGAATCCCTACACATCTTGTCCACTCATCATCTCCTCACTCACCGTTCACTTGACACTTGATTTTCGTCTGTGCTCTCTCACAGCTGGCTCATACAAGGCCATCCGCCGCAAGACCACCGGCACTGGCCGCATGAAGCACCTCCGCCGCGTGCAGCAGAAGTTCAAGAACAACTTCCGCGAGCGCCCCCTCCGCCTGAAGAAGCCCCCTTCGGAGTCCACCGCATAAGCTTGCTGACTGACTCTGTGGTGTGAATGTGATTGGTTCTGTCAATACCCTTCACCGTGTGCTTCGCTTCTCTTCCATTCTACTCCCTTGGCGCATTGTGGTTGTGGGCGTCTTGGGGTCCCCTGTTGTGTTTGCGTGTGCGTCGTGCCCACTTGCTGTTGAGTGTGGTCTGTTCTGTTTGTCCGCCTTGACATCCTTTGATGAGTACACGCGCATGCATGCGACGCTCTCAAGCAAGCAAGTTGACCATGATGTCAGACATGGGGGCCACGGTCGTGCACTTGAAGTCAAGTCAACAAAGCAAGAGGAGGAACGAGTGCGGTGTGTGTGTGTGTGTGTGACGTGAACACGTGCGTGTAGATGAGGTGTTACAATGGTACAGGGACGAATCGAATCGACTGAGCACGCGTGTGGTTGTGTGGCTCTGTGTGTGTGTGTGTGTGTGTGTGAAGGAAAGGGAGGAGGGGATGCGTGAGAACATGTGCGTGTTGTTGCGTCTTCTGCGTCTGTCAAATCCCCCAATCAGCATGCATACACGCACACACACACTCAAGCGTCACGTGCGTTGTCAATGGCAGCGTTTATGTTTTCTGCTCACAGACGAGAGGAAAAAGGAAGAGGGGGAAAGAAGAAGAGAACCACAGGCAAGGGAACAGAGACAGGCAAAGGCGAGCAAAGGTTTACTCGTCCTCCTCCATGGCCTCCGCGGCTGCGAGACGGCGCAGGAAGGACTCCTTCTTCTGCTTGATGCGGTCCTTGCGCTGGGCAAGCGACATGCGGGTGCGCCCGTAGTTCTTGCGCTCGCCGGCCTTGTCGCTGGGCTTCTTCTTCCGGTTGGGGTCCTCACGGATCGCCTTATGCGCATCAGCATACATCTGCTCCAGATCATCCGCGCTCACGCCCTGCTTCACATACTCGGAGAAGAGGCGGTTGTACTTGTCAGCATCCTCCTCCTGCAGCTCGCGCATGTAGTTGGCAACGTGCTCGCCAAAGATGTAGTCGCGCAGAACCTACGAACCGTTTGGTGGGGTGGGGGAATGAGCAAAGTAGGAAAGCAGCATGTGTGAGCGTGTGTGTGTGTGTGTGTGTGTGTGTGTGTGAGCGTGTGTGTGTATGTGTACATGAGACGAAAAGGTGTTTGGTGGATGCAGCAGCAGGTGGGGCTGTGTGTATGTAGTTTGGTGAGGAGCTTGCTTGCATGCAGCACTGCGGCCACCGCTCGCCCAGAAAGGCAACCCCGCCACCACCCACAAGGAAGCAACCAAACAACCAATCTTCTCTGTCACCCCCCCCCCCCGGTTCACACACACACACGCTCAAAACACACCTCGGCATCGAAAGCCTTGGCCTCCTCGTCGTAACCAGGGAAGCGCTTGTGGTTGTGGGGCACAGCGAGACCACCGTCAACAGCACCCTTCATGACAGCGAAGACACGGGCACCAGTGGTGGTGGGGGCAAGACCGACATCCAGGAAGGCGCGGAAGGGGCGGGGGCCAGATTGCTGCCAGAAACACAAAAAAGAGAAACGGGAGAAAGCACAACAACGTGAGGTCGTACACCCGAGGGACGACAATCAACACAGCCAGTACAAGTAAAACCAAACAAGAGCAAGCAAGAGCGCGCTCACAAGAACGCGCTCACAAGAACACACACACACGCGCGCACTGGAATCAACACAACCCAATGTCAATCACAAGCGAATCAGAACCACACGCTCGTCGCGCCCCCTTCAGCACAATCACACTGTTCGCAAACGTACCACGCCCTTCTCGACGTTGTAGTCGTCACCAGTGGCCTCCTCGACACCGGTGTAGCGGTCGGCGAGGTTGTACTTGGTGAGGAGACGGCGGGCCAGGAGAAGACCCGTGGCGTAGCAGGCGGCGTAGTTGGTGAGGCCAACCTTGATGCCAAACTGCTTCAGCTCGTGGCTGTATGCCGCGGCGACGACGTAGTCACCCTCGAGGCGGGAGTAGGCAACCTGTGCGATGACATCGCGGTTGGTGCGGCGCACAACAAGACGGAACTTGGGTGTGTTGTACTTGTTCTTGTCCTGCTGGATGAGCTTGCGGCGGGCAAAGTAGTCGGTCTGACCTGCACGCGTACAACAACGGACACGTTGACATGGGGAATGGGAAAACACAGGACGGGGGTTGGGGAGGCAAAACCACGCATATAGCACACGGCATGATGGTGAGGTAGGAATTAAGTGCGTGAAGACCAGGCAAGTGGTGCCTTGCGAGTGTGGGTGTGTGTGTGGGGGGGGGGTGGATGATGGTGGTTCCTGAGCGTGCATCGATCCGCACGTGTGCTGTGGTTCACTCGCTGGTGTGGTTCAGGTGACTGCAGCACAGGTGCATCTCATCCATGGCTTGCCGCACACACGACACACGCCACACACACACGCCACACGCCACACACCACAAGCCAGCATCAGCATCAACAGTGCTCAGTGACAGTGCTGCGGCTGCTGATCATGGCGCTGCGGTTGCTGTCATGATATGGTGGTTATGTTTTGCTGTGGTGGTTGTGTTGTGCTGATGCTTTGTAACACAAACACACAGAAGTATGAACGTACAGACACAGACACACACACATGCGCACACGACGTACCGGTGCGGCGACGGCGGTACTTGACCTGGTAGCGCTTGTAGTACGCCTTGTTCTTCACGACCTTGAGGAAGGGCATGGCTGGTGGTTGGTCGTCGTTGGTGGAGGTGGCAGCAGAGCACGCGTGAGGAAAAAGGCACTTTGCTCTGCGTGCCATCAGAAAACACACCGGAGTGTCGGAAAACAGTCGGAAAACAATCAGAAACCAAACCCCACAAAATGCTGAGTCAGCGATATGTGCAGAGCGCGGCGGCGCAAACCAGTGCCGCCATCGTCCTTCAAGTGAGGATGATGGTGCTGATGTGTGTGTGTGTGTGTGTGTGTGTGTGTGTGTGTGTGTGTGTGTGTGTGTGTGTGTGTGTGTGTGTGTGT